ATTTCCTGGAATGTGTCAAAACTGCCACTTTATCACATTTGACCAAAGGGTGATGGTTGCTGTCTCTGTCCCCACGCAGGGGTGGTGTGAAGGAGAGCCCCCAGGGAGGAGGTTGCCCGTGGCCCTCCCTGGAGCCGGTGGCTGGGCAGGAGCAGGGCATGCAGTGGCTGAGCGCGATGCCTGCACACGCAGGGAAGTGACGCCACAGGGCAGTATGTGACTGCAATGACAAGGGGAAGCAAAACCTCCCCAGACCACGGCTCTGAGCTGCACTTCTCGGTGCCCAGGGCCATGCAGGCTCAGCCCCAGAGCCAGCCATCGCTGCGGGGGGCATGTCCACCCTGCTGCCTCTGCGCTGCCAGCCCCTTGCCCTCCCCTTGACCTGGGCTGGGAGATTCAACGCGTTGGTCCAGCAGTTTGATGCTTTTGTTTTTTCCTTTCCTTTGCAATATTGGGTCATATAAGTGCTCTTGCAGCACCTCCACCCTGTGTCCAGCACCCCTGTATCAGTAAGTACCTGGAAAGCAAATGATGCTGTGTTATTCAGCACCCCCGTATGAATAAGTGCCTGGAAAGCAAGTGGTGCTGCATTATCTAGGGCTGATACCCACTAATTCTGGTAAAGGAGTTTGGGTCGTTTCTCCTTGTCAAGGAGTAGGGCTGAAACCAGACTGTTATCACGGGCCCTTAGCAAAAGCCCATTTTGGACTTTGCCTTTACGGAAAAAGCCAACCATGTCTTGCTCTTTCCATGTAGTTGTGTTCCTCAAAGCACTTGACTCAGCTAAAAGACTTCACAAATCAATGATGATTGCAATAATTTCTAAAGCTTTTTTCCTTTAAAAATATAAAATCCCTCTCATTTAATGATCATAAGAAAGAACATTTGATGCAAGTAAACATCCTTTCCCCAAACAAAGAGTTGCCCTCCCATCCTGCGGTGTGTAAACCTGTGACTAGAAGGATGTTTTCCAGCAGTCAGGGTATTTTCTGAAGTTAGCCGATACTAAAACCAGAACCTTTTTGCCTTTCCATTGATAGTCCTGTATGCACTGGCCTCACCTCACCATGCAGCTGAATCAGTCTGATATCGTTGTGCTGAGCAAACAAGTTACCTGAAGCTGTAGTTGCTTGGATTTTTTCCCTACCTGGCAAAGTCATTTCCTTGACGTGCTGTGAACACCATGGTAGCGCTGGGAAAAGCCCAGCTGCTGTTGCCAAAAATTACCTCCCTAATTCCTGATTCTGGGCAGGAGGGTCCTGAATGTGGCCTCGTGCCTTTGTCACGGCTCGGTCACATCCCTTTCGGGAGCACAAAGGGGAAGATACAAGCAGAAATGTGCCCTTAATTGCTGCCACGCAGCAGGTGGCAAAGGTGGCTGCAATCCCGGGTTGGATCCCGGAGCTGAGGGAGGAGGCGCAAACATGGTACCTTGACCTGGGCAGAGCGTGATAACGCAGGCAAAACCTGAAAGGCACAAAAGTCCAGTTGATGGGCACCATCCCAGGGCCATCCTCTGCTCTGAGCCCCCCCAGGTGGGCACTGCAACAGTGTCACGGTGGTAACGCAAGGGTGCTGGCATCCTGTTCGCCAGCCTTACCCACTGTTGCTGAAGGTAACTGGTTTCTTCCGAGGTTTGCAGCTGGATTGTCCCCTGAAGAAAGGTGCCTTGGCCCTTCAAGCAGTGGCAGCAGCACGGAGGAGCTGAGCCAAGTGGTGTTCCCGCTGTCCTTTCCTGCAGAGAAGGGAATGATGCCAAAGCCCCTGTAAGATGAAATGGCTGAAATAATTTGAGGTCACTGCCATTTCATGAGATATCTCCTGTTGCTAAAGGAGTGACATCTGCCTCCATGCTTTCAGAGGGCTTGCGGACTGGTGAGATTTGCGTTGGAAAGAGACCATGCGTGACAAGGGAGGGTAGCCTTGGCGTGGCCAGTTTCTTATGCCATCATCCAGACAACAGAGTGACGCACTTGGGTAAAGACCCTTGTTTACAGCTGTAACAGCTTTTGGAACTATTGCTCACTGACAGTCCCGCTGTCAGACAGTCACCTACTTCATGGAAAACACTGCCAGACTGAAAGACTACACATCATATCCCCAGCCCTTCCTGTCAGGCCTCCTTGCACCTCTGTGGGTGGACGTCATGCCCTCACACCATCTCATGTCAATGGGAGGAAAATGATAAAATTAGTCCCTTCCAGCAGCGTGTGCTAAAAATAATGAGCAACATATGAGACGTTTTTCAGATGACTTAAAAAAACATCCTGCAGGGGGGAGAGGGAAGGAGGGAGGCGTTGTCTGTTGTCTAGCAATTTGTTGAGGAAATACCGCATGTGCATCCAGTCTCAGGTGTAAGAGCATGAGCTGGCCGAGGACACCGGGCTGGTTTTCGCCTGGGCAAGCACAGTGCGAATGCGACCTGGGGCTGCACTTGCTGCTCTGGCAGGGGGCCACCGGCCGTGGCTAATGGAGAGTGCTATGGGGCGGCAACTCCAGCAGTTTGCTTCGGCAGGTGGGTTTGGTTTGCTTTTTTTATATCAGGTGCTTGCATGTGAGTCAGGTGCCTTCAGACAGTGATGCCATTCCCCAGTGATGGGATTTTTTTTCCCCTTGCCCTTTAGGGAGGAGCAGGTCACAAGCATTGTGCTCTGGTGGTGACCTGGCTGGAGAGGGGCCAGGTTCCGGCAGGCAGTGGGTGAGGGTGTCTGGATGTTTCACAAGGCTGACGAGTCCTACAAGTATAATTTGCTGGTGGGGCTGTGCAAAAATGCACTGTGCAGCACCTATGGTAGCACTTGGCATCAGGCTGATGGGCCTTCTCAGGACTGCTTTGCTGATGCCCCCTGATGTAAAGTTCCTCCAAGCCTCTGCTAGTGGCTAACTGAGAAAGGACAGGGAATTGCTTCCCTTCGTTTTTTCTTGTTTACTAGAAACCAGAGCCTTCGGCCAGGAAGCTCTTAGTTGTCCTTGTACTGGGAACACATGCCCCAGGCATGGCGCTCCCTGCCCCTAAAGCTGGGGAGAAGCAGCACGATGAGTCAGGGGGAAAGCCTGCTATGTGCATGGCGTAGCAGGTGAGGATCTTGGGCTCTCCTCTCCACAGACACATCTTTGGGTCCCAGCTTTAGGGAGGAAGAATAAGCTCTGTACTATCCCTTTGCTATTGCCTTGCGGTAAGCAGTATCATTTCCCCCTTTTCCAAAACCCCAGCTTCAAACTTTGGAGAAAGTCAAAATCTGATCTTGGTGAAACGTTGTATTCCTTTCTGCCTGCATCCGACACGAAACCCTTAACTTGGATTCCATCCTTCACTGATCCCCAGGGACTCTTCCTCAAAGCTGCAACACCTCTGGTAGAGGTAATGGAGCCCCTGACACCACCCAACTACTCTGCAGGCAGTAGTTACTAAAAAATATTAGAATAGGTGTCTCAGTTTCCCATTTTGAAGTTTAAGGATATGGTTATGTCTTGTTCCTCTTAAAGGCAGAAGTAAAAGCCTAATCTCCCAATGCATACCTGCTGGCACTCTGCCGTTGCCCTAGTGTGTGCCCGCTGACTTGGAAGTATGGAAGGAATTTGTATAATGTGATCATGCATTCAGAATCCGAAAAAAAAACCCTGAGTTATAACAGCGACTCATTTTTCTCAAATGAGAGAGACTCATTTTGCAAACGCTTTGTATTTATTATCTCAGCAAGAATTCAAGACATACATGCATGGGGCATACAGCAAAACATCTGGCCCGTATCCAGAGTAGGCCTTAAGAAAAACAAAATCATGTTGATACAGTCATATAGCAGATCCTTTGCAGAAGTAACAAAAGAAATCCTAGGGAGGACATCAGCAAGCGCTTGCTCATATACTGGCACTCATCGCTTGGATCTAGGTCTCTTTCCTGAGTTCCCGGTGAATGCTAGCACTCTTGACAATGCTCAGAGAAACATTAAAAAGTTTCATAAAAAGCAAGGAGTCTTTGCAGATCTAGACAGAAAAATACTGTGCTAATACTTAACTCAGATATCCCCATGATAATGAATTTATGTGGATGCTTTTTTTTCATAACAATCATGTGTGTTACAGCCTGAAGAATTGGGCAGGCTCTATGAAGCCTGCACCTTGTTTCCTATTGAATTTCAAAGCAGCATACATTGAGCAGAACACTTTTATTCGAATACATTTCAGCTACTAATGCAAATGGTAATGATGAATTTTCCTGAGAGTCCCAGACAGGCACAGTCATTGTTTAGTGTCCATGATGAAGACTCCAAGACTCCACCAAGCCCAGGACATACAGCGGCAGCCCTTCTGTTGAAGTCAGGGTTGCCTTTGACGAACAGCTTTGCCAACTTGCATGCGGCAATAGCCTGGGAGCTGGTGTTTGCATTTACTTTTTAATACCTGAAAAACTGACCTCTGTCCATATCAGCAAAACACATTACTTTGCAGTTCTAAGACGAATAACAACTACTCTTGAAACACGTTCTCACTGGAAAGGTATTAGCTGGCTTAGAGGAGGAGGGAACCGTGCATGTGGCTCAAGCCAATGGCAAAGCTCCCAGTAACGCCACTGGGATGGGGTTAAATCCTCCGTGCGGAAAGCAGGCAAAGTCAGTCAGCTTCTGCTTAGTGAAATCAGTGATAACAAGTAACAGCCATATACAGTTGGTTGTGACAGAGTGACCAGAGCTATGTAATGACAATTTTGCAAAGGCAAAGTCAAGAGAGCTAACTGAAAAATTCATTATAAATACAAACAAGAATTCACTACAAGGCAGGAAAAAATGCAATTTCAACAGACCCAGAATTCAGAAAGTGCAACTATACAGCCTTATATGATGCAAATGTACTTACATACAAGGTTAGTTAAGAGAAGGAACACTGACTATTGACCTAAGAGGTAGCTACAAACATGATCAGCTTCAGCCATTTTCCTTCTAGCTTGCACCCATGAAAAAATACTGTTTAGGATCGTGTCCAACATGAATTGACTAGCAGAGTTAGTTTGCCTTGATGGCGATCAGCGTGCTTAATTCAGCTCCTCTGAAGCCAGCCAAGGGTAATAAGCCTTCAGTGAGATAGCCATAATGCATCACAATCCACTGGACGTGCTGCAGCGGCTTCATCATTCTGAAACCAAAACGAGGTTACCATGAAATGAAATGGAAATAAAGTACAAGGGAAGAACCTTCACTTGTAAGTATCATTAAACATTCAGAAAGCCAAGGCTACTTTCCTGTACTGACTGTAACATTCAATTTTATTGATATTATTTCTTCAAAGAGAGGTAGTAACTTTCTTTGAATAAATAACATTCTCAAGAAAACTTGAGATTCAGCTTGGATTCAACTTTAAGATCTACTTCTGTTGAAGAGTTATTTTGTTACTTATAAAGACACAGCAGCATTGTACTGTTCTCAAGAAATTCTTTGTAATATTGAAAGAATTCTTCCACCACACATACCTCAATAACTGTATTTGTGTAATATATATTCATATATATGTCTTATATAATGCTATACTAAAGTATGCTCCCCTCTGTGATGCATGATGTATTTCCTTTAATATCAGAAAACATTATGCTTTCTTCTAGTTAATATAATGTATTTTTATGTCATGTTTTGAACATATTTCCATACCACATTTTGAGCCTAAACAAGCAGCATTCAATTAATAGGTCTGTGAAATACTCATGTCATACACATGGGGTGCACATATTTATATTTTTTATATATAATATATATACACAAATATACACATTATATATAATATAGAGTAGAACTATGCAACATCGTGTTAATTCATAGAATTGTAATTTTTACTCCACAAAGCAACATCCTGTAACAAATAACCTTTCAATAAAGACAGTGGTTTAATTAACAAATGAAATAATCCCACCACCAGATTCCTGTCCAGCAGAATCCATGCTTTAGAAAACAAAAGCAGTCAGAAATCGAGCAACTGGCTTTTGCCTTGTGATATACGACCCCATGTTCCAAGACAATGACTTTATTTGTCTTCTTCCCGAAGGTGATCCAAGCTCTGCGGTGAAACGTAGCTGTGGGACATGAGGACCAGAGGGCAACTGGGGAAACCAGGCTCCTGGAAGTCTTCTCAGACCAGCCTGAAGGGCAAGTTCTGTCATGCCCCAAGTCTCCCCATTGCGAGGCGAGGGGCTCTGCCCATCGCTATCTTTTTTTTCCACCTGGCATTTATACGCCAATATTGCTGCAACATTCCTCAAAGAAATCATGTTGCGACAGCCATCCTTCAGCAGCTACAGGCAGTAAAACACAACGCAGAGAGCTTTCTTCATCTCCCAGTGTCAGTGAAGTCTCGTGTTCCAAATCCACAAAGCCGAGGTCTTCCCCTGCTTTTCAGCACACCGTGTCCGAGGGGAGCTCACGTTTCCGGGCAGAATAGCTTCGTGAGGAGGTTCAGGATCTTCTGCCGCAGGGGCCACTTGTCGCCTATCCTGCGCAGCTGCAGGGCGCACTCCGCCACCACCTCCCGCTCTGCAGGGCACACGCACGGCCGTCAGCCACCCGCGCCGCCGCCTGCCCTCCCGTATTTGTTTTTAACTTTAATGACATCTTGGCAATACTGCAATTTCTTTTTTTTCTCATTTTCTCAAAAATAAACACCACCCCACCCCA